AGAGCAGAGGTGGTATGGGGAGAAGATTGTGAAAATATTGGTCATATGTTCTAAGGCTCCTAAGTTTATAACCCATGGAGGTTCCCCCTTAACTGTAGTGGATGCATAATTTCCAGTGGCATGTGAACTGCATGTATGTGTAAACGAAGTATGACTGCCTCTTGATCCACCTACACCTTGCTGTCCACCTGATAATGAGCTAGAACTAGTTGTTGCAACAAACTCTAGAGAAGCTGTAGTTTGGTGGTCCTGATTTGCCATATTCACATTTCCCTTTTTGTTTTTGAGCCGATTTGGTATAAGGTGTGGGTAAAGCTTCCAACAGGTATCTCTAGTATGTTTAGGTTTCTTACAATAGTCACAAATCAGGTCCTTCTTGTCCTCCTTCCTCGGTTCATTTCCATCCTTATTTCCATTTGGCTTAGGCTTTCGCTGTGCTAACCATAGTCGACTGCTCAAGGCCTAGGTTTCTCATCATCACATTCCTCCTACTCTCCTCTCCAAACACAAAGGCATATGCCTAAGAGAGTTACACTATCTCAAGAAAGAATATGCTGTCGGGCAATGTTATATTCAAGGTTAAATTCTGCTAGAAACTCAATATTATTCTCTATTAGTTTCTGATAAGTTGCTACATCTTTGTTACTTTCCCAAACCACGGTTTCCAAGTGATATATCTCTTGCCAAAAGGTTTTGAGGGTTGAAAAATAAATTGCAACAGACTTATCTCCTTGCTTAGTAGCAATCACCTGGTTTCTTAACTGGTAGGCTCTAGCAACATTTTCACTTTGTGAACAAGTTTCTAATACTCCATCCCTAATCTTCTTAGCTATGTTAGCCCATAGAAAGTTCTTACTTATATGGGGTATAATGGAATTGCACAGCCAGGTCGTCATCATGTAGTTCTCTTGTACCCACTAGTGGAGAAGTTAGTCTCAAGTTTCTTCTCTTCACTGGTGACATACCCCAATTTTCCACAAGCTCCAATGGCCATTTTTGTAGATTGTGACCATTCTAAGTAGTTTGTATCATCCAACTTGACTATAGTGATGGTTCCAGCCCCGAAGAGGTCACCAACACTTCCACCTTGTCCCATTTCACTTGCAGATTAGGAAATCAATCTGAGATGAAAAGAAAGAGTATTATCTCCTTTAGAAATCTCAAACACATTCCTGGTACCCTAGAAGCCCCTCCCACCAAAGATTCCCTTCTTCGTGGGAACGGGGGAAGGAAGAGAAGAGGCTGCCGCTCCCTCCAGAGGCTTCCAAAAAGATTGGGACTTGAACGCCCTATTCAGAAAACCTCTAGAAACACTAAAAAGCTAGAGCGCCACTTCCTAGTTCAAAATTAAAGAGACCTATTAAATTAGGATTCTTCCCCTTTCTCCAGTTCTTTCGGGTTTTGGTGATAAACCTTAGACCTGCTACAAGGGATTGCAAATCCACCAAAAAAATCCAAAAACTGGGCTTACCTGAAGTCGTTGATCAACACTTACCTCATCATGTAGTCAGTTGATCTAGGGCTATATGATGGAACAACTCAAACAATCCCTAAACTTGCTCTGATACCAAGTAGACAAGTGTAAAAATTCTGTTTTGATATACAATCTGTGAAGGAGAGAAGAAAGAAAAAGAAGGTTCAGTTTGGGCTCTTCTGTAACTGTAAGAATATGGTATTGCTATTGTCCTAGGAGTTTGGGGAAGCCGGGGCTTCTCATATTATTGTAAAATTTTTCCTGAATTAATAAAAGATTTTTTCTGTTGCTGAAAAAAAATGTTTCTTTTTGAAGGTTCAGTTTGGAAAGAGTACAAATACAAATATGTAGAGCGCAAAACCTTATATTTTATATTATTTTTTATGTATTTGTACTGTACATATTTGTACTCTTTTCAAAATGAGCCAAAGGTCCAAATTTATTAAAACAAAAAGAAATAGTAAAACACAAATAAAACAGTTAACTTTGTTGCTGATAAACTAAAAGTAATACATAAAAAATGCTGATGTGGATTTTAAAAGAAAATAAATGTTTTAAAACTCCCTTTTGGCTCACACCTCCAGATCAAAGGGGTTGATTTTGTGATTTTAGTCAAACTTTCTATGTTAAGATTATGGTTGGGAAATCAAAATATTCATGATTAGAAGAAAGGGAAGAAAATTCAGAAAATAGAGGGGATGGACCCCTTTTTTAGTCATAATCTTCAAGGGTTCAAGACAACATACACAAACATGTGTTCATTGAACCCTAGCAAATTAGAAATAATAAAATGAAAATAGTATTTTAGCCCACAAAACATAGTTTTCAAGATGCCAAGGCGATAAGGGGGCACCTATTTGCCTAGGCATGGCGATGGATATTTTTTAAGTAAAATCCACATATCCTAGGGTAGTTCCCTAGGTTCCATAACCATCTTTCTTTAATAGCTATCCATAATTTTGATAAGTAAATTATAAACTTCATGTTTATGTCTAGAAAATCAACATATTTATGAGAAGAAAAAGAAGAAAGAAAAGAAAATTCAAAAAATATACAGTCTGAACCCCTATTTTTGTTATAGGAAAAGAATAAATGTGGTGATTAAACAAAATTTTAAGTTCTTCCCATATTGGTTCAGATTTTGAAGCCTTTGAGGGTTCAATAAAGCAGTTAGCAATGTTTGTGTTGATTAAACCCTAACAAATAAGAAAATACTAAAAAGGAATTAGTTTATAAACACAAAAGATGAATATTTTTGTTTAATAATGTTTATTTTATAATTATAATCTCAAAAGAATAACTATATAAAAGTATTTTATTACACAGTATACAAAACTGCTTTGTGATTGGGTGAGGCGAGCCTCAAGGGTGCCTTGTAGGGCTGTCAATGGGTCTGTTCTGACCCGATGGACCCGATTGGGCCGGTTCTGGTTTTGGGAACTGGAACTGACGGGTCGGTTCCGGGTCCTGATATAGGGTCCCGATTACTATCGGTTCAGAACCGGTTCCACCTAGTCCTGAACCGATTCAGACCCGAGCCCGATATAAAATGTATAATATATTAAATAAAAAAAAATATAATAATAATATATAGAATATATATTATATATAATATTTAATATATATTAAACAAATATTTATTTTGTATTTATTATAATTGGGTCTGTCGGGTCAGACCCGATTGTCCCAAGAACCGATTGGTTCGGTTATGGGTCCAAAAATTTCAGACCCTATCGGGTTCGGTTCTGGGTCTGTGTCCACAACATTTTATGTTGGGTTGGTTCTGGTTCTAGCTGGTTCTGACCCAGACCTAGACCTGATCAGTTGACAGCCCTAATGCCTTGTTGCCTAGGTGTCGCCTTGACAACTATGCCGCAAAATGAATAATTTACAGTAGGGTTGCTTTCTAAAGTCAGGACCAAGGCGGCGTACAAAGTAGCTAGTCAGGACCAAGGCGGCGTACAAAGTAGCTAGTCAGGACCAATTTTGTTAAACAAAATTGAGGCAAAAACGTAAATTTATGACTACGACTTTTACTAATATTAAAATTAATTAATAAATTTATATTAATTTTTTACTTTTATGAAATTTCATTAAGTTATTGCTTATTATTTTTATTAAATTATTACTTTTTATTGATTTATTATTAAGGGTCATTTACTAGAACACCCCCTGTAGTTTCACAGATTTACTTAAACCTACACTATACTTCACATTTTACTAAAACACCCCCTATAGTTTACAACCTTTTTACTTAATCGACCTTTCACTAAGAAGTGTTTGTTTTGCCATCTGAGTATAGCAACATGATCACCTAAACTGAGTGGAAAAGGTTCAAGGGCATGGACCTGTGATTGTTTATTCCAAAAGTAGCCCCAACACTTCATACAATAAACAAAATTGACCAAATAGAGTGGTTGCTAGTGTCTTATTAGGGGCAAACATGGTATTTTTATTTTTATTTTCTTTTGATTAAATTTATTGAAATAGACATTAAGGTCACAGTTGTCATTTTCCACTGTTATCTAATAGAAGGTTGATTAGGTAAATCAATTGCAAACTACAAGGAGTGTTTTAGTAAAACACAAACTATAGGGTAGGTTTTAGTAAACCCATGAAAGTATAGAGGGTGTTTTAGTAAATGACCCATTTATTAACTTAAATAGTTGGTAAATTATTTTTATATAAATTTCTGTATTTGGGGTTGTGGTGTTTTCTCTTTTTCTTGGTTTGGGTGGAAGTTTTGTTGGGGGGGGGGTGGATCTGTTTGGGAGGTTTTTTTTCTTTCTTGTGTAAGTTTTTATGTATTGGGATTTTTTGTTTGATTGGTGTCTTAGCTTAGGTGCTGAGTGCTGATAGGTTTGAGTTGTAGGAACTGGTGAATTTGTTTTGTTGGGCTTCCACTCTCTGGTGACTTCTTAACACCTTCCTTGTACTCTTTTATTTTAGTAAATTTTATTTTAAGACCAAAGAAGAACTATGCACTTAAGTAACATGACTTTCTATGACTATGAGTGCCTTGCTGCGTAGCTGTCACCTTGATAACTACTGAAAAAGTTGAATTTAGTTTGTCCCCAGTTGGTGGTTGAGCCTTGAGCTTAATCTTCCTTTGTATTGAATCCGAAATTCATAATGAACAAATTAAAATGATATATCTGGAAATTTCTTATCTTTCAGCAATCAGCACAAATTGATACCCCTTAAATAAGGCGCTTTGAAATTTCAGGTCTTGTCTTGTTGTTGGGCCTTACAATAATTTTCTTTTACCAGTCATAAATGTTTTGCATTTATGTTTTTAGAAGCATGCCATTTTGGTAATTCAGATGTGGCATTTCCTATTAGATTTGACCTCACTCTGAGCTGCTTGTTTCCCTCTACATGATCACACCTGGCTTATTCAATGCAAAATTGTAAAGATTCTTTTCTTTATCTTGTTTCTTTGATTTGTTATTTCATTCTTTATTTTAATCTCTTAACTAACTAACTCATCAAAAATATTTAATCTCTTTAACTATTTTTTTTGTAGTTCTGCGAATGGAGCTGGATATTCAGAGATTTATGCAAAATCCTGATCAACAGAAATTTGAGTTTTCTCACTTTCCAACATCCTACCTCCGGCTTGCAGCTCATCGTGTTGCCCAACATTATGGTCTGCATACTATGGTAATGGATAACTTAATAGATGGCCAGGGCACCCGAATAATTGTGAGAAAAACAGCTGAAAGCAGATACCCTGCTGTCTGTTTGTCGGAAATTCCTCTGAAACAGTCAGAAAGTGATAAACCTGAGCATGTTAAGATTGCCATCAAACCGAGATCACATAAAGCTTCTACAGATGATGCAAGTGATCAGTGTATTAAGTGCAGTCCTGTAAAAACCATGGAAGAGAGAAAGGAGGAGTATGATAGAGCACGTGCCCGCATTTTCAGTAGATCTAGCAGTTCTGGTACAGAAGGTGTTTTATGTGCAGCAAATGATGGAAGGAGCTCATCTTCAAGCAAAGACGAGAGTGAAAGTTGCAGGGCAGATGTGCAGCCAGAAAAGATTAGCACAAGGGATGGTAGTATTTCCAGAGTCGCCATTTTCAGAGACAGGGAGAAGGATCGTTCTGATCCAGATTACGATCGGAGTTATGAAAGGTAAGGCCACTATTTCTTAGTTAGGCTAAAAGTGTTCTTGTCAACTTATCAAACTAACAGTGCTCTGAAGCTTCTGCAGGTATGTTAGGAGTGTTACGCCTAATCAAAGCTTTAGCTTGGGGCCTTTGAACATGCAGAGCTTTCAACCTTCATTCATGCAGTATGAATCTGGGTTTCCTCTGAATCAATTGCAAGGAACTAAGACATCCCTCAGCTACAGACCTTCATTTAGTCTGGCTATGGATCCATTTTGTGCCATGGGATTAAATCAGACTTCTAGGGATCCTATGTATATGCAGTGGCCTAGTCCTGCAATGATGTATGCCCAGTCCTATGATCAATTTAGACATGCTGTTTTCCAGGTAGGCTAAACTTTCATAATTTCCCAGATGGGTGTATACATAATTAAAAAATTAGCCATAGTTTGAGCATGCTTGTAGATTGTTGTTGCACATCATTTGATGGTTCCACTTTGGAGATCTCCTCGGTGAAGAAGAAAAATGCCAGATAATTGGTGTCCTTCTGGTGAAGAAGACAAGGGTGTAAATACCGAATAAGACAAAGGTTATTTGCACTCTTCCATATTTTCACCTTTCCACTTGTTCTAGAAAATTGAAATAGATATTTTAGTCATAATCAATTGGGTGACTGCTAAATAAGGTTGTGGCACATTTGCCTACAAATCATAATTGTTATTTTTGTGATAGCTGGTATCTAGCACATTAGAAAATGTGGTCCACGACTCCACATGCAGATTTATATCTGTATCACTTATATAGGTGTGCTTGTCATAGTAGTTTGTTATTTGTTAATGATGTATTTTCACTCGTGTGCCTTCAAGGAATGTTACATCCTGTTGGGAAGTAGGATTTCATTTTAAACATGGATGTTTGAGTCTCAAGGAGTTCTGGAAATCTCTTGGATCAGAAGCAAATGTCTTCACTTGTTGAAGAGAGGGAGGTATATTGGAAGACTATAATTGTTAACACTCCAGTTCTACTTGCTTGTAGGATTGTAACAATTCAATGGCATCTACTTCTAGTGTTTCAATTTATCAGTTCTATAGCATGTCTAAATTGTTCATTGGGACTGGGTATGTTTTATAGCATTCTATCTGAGATAAAGGTCCTGTAAGTAATTTAGGTTTAACCCCCAACACAGTTTTGTGAAGCACAAAAGTTGTACTTGTTGCATACGTGTATGGGGTTTGGTCCTTTCTTTGGAGGAGTATTTATTTTAATGAGCTTCAGTAGTTGGCCTTTTCTAGTTCTATTTTGTGAGGTTGACTTCTAATCCTATCAGAAAAATGACTCTAGCCATCTTTTTCAGAAGCCATCTTATTTCTCTCAAAGTGTCTAAAAACAACGATGATCAGTTTGGTTAGGAGATCTTTGAAGTGGGACCATACATGTGGTGTCAGCAGGGCAGAGCATCTTCGCAAAGAGTGTAGTCAGTGTTTTATGGTCTTGTTACTGATATTGCCACCCAATACTGTTACTGCAGGCTCCTTTTTATCAGCAACCATTGAGCTTTGATTACTCCCAAAACCATTAGAATACTGGGGATATCTGTAACGTTACTCATGAAATTCATTCTATTTCCTTTAGGTTGTATTGAGAGTAGAGACGTAATTGAAGAATTGTTTTTCATACACTCCCCTCTTAGTTCATGTGCTCTTTTATTTTGTCTTGCCATTAACAAGGAATGAAGATTTAGTAGTATAATTTCATGGTATCTTCTAATTTTGCTTATCTAGATTTTTCCTAGCTACAGTACTGAACCTGATTATGTTACAGTGGACCTGTGAGTTGATGAGGCTCCTAAGTTCTCTATTTTAATATTTCAATGAATCTGCACTTTACATGTAATCTGCTATTTTATTTTCTAAACGTTTTTTCCTGGATGATAGATGGAATGTTGGACTTAGATATCCAATGCCATGTTACAATGAGATACAGACTTGAGAGGGTAATGTGCCATTGGTGGGTCTTCCCATTTAATGGATTATAAATTCCACCTCTAGAAACTCGTTTGGTTGATCTCAACAGAACCGGCCTCCTTATTTAATGGGTGCTTGATTAATCCCAATTCGTCTCTACTCTGGTATATGATACAAGTTGATTTAGGCTATGTTTGGTTTAAGGAAAAGGTAGGCTATGAACTTGATTTAGAAAGAAACTAGTGCAGCACCTGCATGTTTATTCTTAATTGTAGACAAAATTGAAGGCCTGAATAATTCTCAAACTGAACAGGTAAACCTGGATAAATGCATGAATGCATTGGTATATCACGTTTGTTCAAGGGGCGAGTTTTGGTGCTTTTTGTCTTTTTATTCGCTAGTGTAAATTCACCTGCATTGGTATAAATGCATGAATGCAATAATGAGGAGTGAAAATGGTTAATTTTTATTTACGAGTCTTTAATACAATCCAAAATGGGCCAGCAGCAGCCTCATGACTGGTAAAATAATAGACTGAACCATTTAGCCAAAATAGTCAGAAAGGGAATCTGAATCCAACAGAAGATCCTTCAATCCACTCTCTTGTCAAAACAAGGTTTTATATTCTGAAGTCTGATGTATGAGAAGTAAATGAGTCTGAAATGTAAAAAGTGGAAATGATTTCCTGCTTTGTAGAGGCTCTTAAAACTGTAAAGTTTATTATAAACAAAAAAATAACATTGTAAAAAAGAATAATATTGAAAAGAATATTAAGCAAAAATATTATTATATTAATGAACAAATATTATGGTTTGTTGAAAATTGAAGTAAATAATAATTTCTTATCATTATTATTAAACATATTATTAGATATTCTTATTATTAGATGTGTTCACGAGTGGTTGGTTTGGGGCAGGCTTTGCTTCTTTATATAAAGAATGCCAATGGGCTTGAGCCTGAGCTTGGTTCGACCATTAGGCACAGATCTTGAGCCAAAGCCTAAAGCCTGATTTTTATAGGTATTTTATAATACATTAATTATATGTTATTAATAATATATAATATTATATACATTTAATATAATTTGACTATTATATAATATTATAAACATATTCTTACATTTCTATTGTATATTTAATATTATTGGGTCAGGCTTATTTGGGGCTCAATGCCGGCTTGAAAAATAGTCGTGCTTGATTTTTAGAGCTCGAGCCTACGGGCTTTAAATTTTATCCAAGCGTGATTTAGGACGAAACGGGTCAGGCTAGCCGTTTGGCTACGAAGCCCATGAATAGGTCTACTTATTACTAAATAACTATTATAATTTATTTAAATAAAATTAATATTATATATTTTAATAATAATTATTAGATAAAAAGTATTACTAAATGTTATTTTTATTCAAATAAAAAATATTATTTATGATTTATTATTTAATATTATGATATAATATGTAATAATATTATTTAAATGAATATGATTATGGTTTATGTTATTATTAAATGAAAGTAATAAAGGCATTAATGTCATTTCATGAGACTAGGCTACCATTTGACAAGTCTTTTTTAAAAGATTTTCTAGAAGATGCAACCAAAAGGCATAGTGGGATTTTATATAAAGATCTTGGCAACTCACGTATTGTTTGGTTGCAGGCGTGTCTTTTTGCGTGATGATGAGACGAAAAAAGGTGAGACGCTTCATTTCTAGCTTCTTGAAATAAGCTCGAATTGAGCTTCTCATGTCTTTTCAAGCTGGTCTTTTGGTGACAAGATCTTTTCCCACCCAAATAGAAAAAGATGAAAATTCGGGTTGCTGCCTTGCTGGGCTTCGAAACAGTCAACAACCCGTGCGAGAAGACGTGCCAAATGGGGCCTAGGTTTTACCATTTCACACGTCTTTTCTCTTTTTATATATTAGAAATAGATGTAACCTGAAAAACTCCTTACCTCTAAAAGATAAGTTTTTTAAACATTAGATGTCTAAAATGTGTTATCAAATGCTACCTTAAAATAGGATCCTTGTCTTTTGAACCAGTGATCAAGGGCTAAGTAAGGTTCAAAGTATCGACACGATACACATTTTGGCCATATCGTATCGGTACTTAGAAACAACCTTTTTATCAGTTCTTTTTTTCAAAGTTTGTTTTTTCTAGGAAGATAAAAGATGTTTTTTTATTATTAAAAAAAGTTGGGGGACCAAGTGTTTCGGACCGTATCTTTTTCAAAAGATACGATACGATACATCTAATACAGGGCATATTATATCGATACTTTGAACCATGGGGCTAACCCCATTGGACTTAAACATACATGCATTTGTTTTCCCTTTTATGAACATTTTCAAGATCGATCTTGCATTGAATCGGACCCGACTTGAAACCAAAATTAAAACTAACCATACCTGATACAAAGACCACAATGTGCAACTCTAGAGTGGTAGTTCATACCTAATATCAGTAGCAAAATTGACCTCTAATTGAAGTAGGCGCATTTGTTTGATAGAGTATGCCTTTAGCTCCAATTAGATTGATGTACATAAACATTTATTCGTAAATGAATAAAGTACATTATTGTTTTATGTTAATATTGGTATGTTTCTGTGTATTACCTCCTAAACTAGACATCTAAGAGACTCGTGTTAGTTTAGAATGTTCTCAGTCTTAGATAGTGTATGTCCTTAGTTCCAATCAAATTGATGTACTGATACATTTATTGTAAATGAGTAAAAGTAAATAATTGTTTCATATTATGATTGGTGTGTTTTTGTGTAATTATCTCTTAAACTAGACACTTATAGGACTTGTGTTAGTTTAGAATGTTCTAAGCCGTTGGATAGACTTGGAATTTATCTTGCCAAGGCTAACACTAATGTGGTGCTAAAAAGGTTGGGGCAACCTGTCCCAGCTACTAGGATTGGACCCGAAGCACATGTAGTGTGTGCTTAAAACACTAAACCTAGACCAATTTCCAATTATGCCTTGGACCTTGGAGATTGATGGGCAATACTGGAAAGTTACACATAACCCTTAGACTCGATTATGGTACTGCACTGGGTGTTGGGTCGAACTGTCTTTGATATGCCAATCAGTGAGATCATTTGGGGGTCAAAACCTAGGTATATTGGGGCAGTCTGAGAATTCACTCGAGTGTGTGATTATAGTGATAGGATAAACCCCTTTGTCGAGCAAAGTGAATGGTTGGGATTGCACTTTCTCTAATGGAAACCAAAACTGCCAACAGTCGATCTCAACCGTGTTTGAGGTTTGTTTTGAAAAAAGGTTTGCAAAAGGTTTTAATTCCTGGGACCCATCCAAGTACAGAGTGCAACGCTACACCTTGCAGTCAGGGGAGAKGTCATTTCTTATCGGGTAGTGTTTGATCATTATGGGTTGAGAGGTTAAGTGTAAGAGACCTTTTAGGGCTGTTTACCTGATGGACTATATCTTACTTAAGTCCATTATCCTTGGGCCTTCATAGGACGGTTGGACTCAAGGACCATTTACTATAAATGTTGGGCCCATTAAGAGCCCATAATGATGGATTCAGGGGTTCACTGTACTTGACAGTGAATTCGGCTAGGTCTTTTCACAAGGGCTGGGCCGAACCCATGTGAGCTTATATAAGGTCATTGTTGGGGTCCCATGCCATGCAAAGTGTACCTAAATGGGCCAGCAACTACCTAGGGACGTGAGTCACTTGCTTAATGGGCCTAAAGACCATGATTAATTAGATTAATTAAGTGGTCACATGACAGCCTAAGCAATCATGTGACTTGGACGAATATGGGTTTCGAAAAGGGTCTGGAGAATCCATTAGGATAAGATTTGGATTAGGAACCTCCTAATTCGATTAGGAGTGATGTTTCTTATGGTATAAGTAAGGAGAGATCGAACTGCTCCAGTTACACAATCTGCTTTCAGTTCTTTCTCTCTACTCTTGTCGCCCTAGAAACCCTAATTTGTTCTCCACTTTTCTGACTGATCTTGATCAGTTCTGATTTCTGATTTTTTGCAAGAAAATATTAGAATTATTTCATGCTCACCTCCCTTGTACGACCAATATGTTGGATTGCAGTTTTATTAAAAATTGCATTGCTAAATCGAYTTCATTCCAAGATGCGCCTTTTTCAGTGGAGATGATGGGCTACATCAATGAACTGGAAGCTCGCGGCTCTGGGCTAGATGATAACACCAAGATTGATGTCTTAAATTCTCTGCCTCCCCCCTTCAACCAGTTTATCATGAACTACAACACGAATAAGCTTAAGGTAGCCTTCAGGAACTCAACAATATGTTGTAGAGGGCTGAAGAACTATTAAAGAAGGACAGATCAATAGCCATGCTTGTTGATGGTGACAAGTTGGGTAAGAAAAAGAGGAAGGCTAAGAAGAATCCTTAGAAGAAACTTGGCAAACTTAAAATGCAGAAAAAGGACGAGGCATCAGATGCGTGTCATTTCTACAAGCAGACTGGTCACTAGAAGAGTAACTATCCTCAATATCTAGAGCCCAAGAAGCAAGGTAATTTCGAATCTTTTGTCATAGAGACCAATTTGTTGGTCACTTCTGCATCCTGGTATATTGACTCTGGGATTTCTACTCATGCATGTAACACAATACAGGGGTTCAGGACAAGTAGAAGACTGAGTGACGAAAAAGTGACGCTTTACTTGGGGAATTCTGCAGCAGTTGCAGCTACAACCATAGGAACTGTAGATTTGTATTTCAGAGGAGTTATTACACTTAAAGATTGAATTTATGTACCTACTTTGAGAAGAAATCTATTTTCTATTTCAAAATTGTGTAAGAATG